TTCATATTATTTTACGAAAAAATAACGAAAATGTACTGTATTTAGCTTACCGACTAAAAATTTGACAATACAATTAAATATTATTTTACAAAAAAATAACAAAAATGTACTTGAATTAACTTACCATCTATAAAGTTTGACGATTAATACAATTAAATCTCATTCATATTATTTTGCAAAACAATAAAGAAAATGTACTGGATTTAACTTACTCCCTATAAGATTTGACAATTAATACAATTAAATCTCATTTATATGATTTTGCGAAACAATAAAGAAATGTATTAGATTTAACTTACAATCTATAAAATTTGAAAACCAATACAATTAAATCTCATTCATATGATTTTGCGAAACAATAAAGAAATGTATTAGATTTAACTTACAATCTATAAAATTTGACAATTAATACAATTAAATCTCATTCATATGATTTTGCGAAACAATAAAGAAATGTATTGGATTTAACTTACAATCTATAAAATTTGACAATTAATACAATTAAATCTCATTTATATTATTTTACGAAAAATAACGAAATGTATTGGATTTAACTTACGAGCTATAAAATTTGACAATTAATACAATTAAATCTCATTTATATTATTTTACGAAAAATGGCGAAATGTATTGGATTTAACTTACGAGCTGTAAAATTTGACAATTAATACAATTAAATCTCATATTATTTTACGAATAAATAATAAAAAATCTACTAGATTTAACTTACTCTCTATAAAATTTGGCAATTAATACAATTAAATCTCATTTCATATTATTTTACGAAAAAATAACGAAAATGTACTGGATTTAACTTACCGACTTAAAAAATTTGACAATTAATACGATTAAATCTCATTTATATTATTTTACGAAAAATAGCGAAATGTATCGGATTTAACTTACGAGCTATAAAAATTGACAATTAATACAATTAAATCTCATTTTATATTATTTTACGAAAAATAACGAAATGTATTTGATTTAACTTACTCCCTATAAAATTTGACAATTAATACAATTAATCTCATTTTATATTATTTTACAAAAAAAATAACAAAAATGTACTAGATTTAACTTACCATCTATAAAGTTTGACAATTAATACAATTAAATCTCATTTCATATGGTTTTGCGAAACAAATAACGAAAATGTACTGGATTTAACTTACAATCTACAACAGAAGAAAATAGAAAACAATAAAATTAAGTCACATGGTTTGCAAAATATCTAATAAAGTTTCTGGATTTAGATACCGTCTACAAGTATTATTGATTCTTTAAAGAAAATCATACTTAAAAACTTTACTGCACTAATTTATTAAAATATTAACCTTTTGCTGCTTCTATCAATTTTCTGGTATCTTCTAAAATCATGACCCGATGCGTGACATAGTCACGCATGGGTTATTATTGCGAAGATCACTGATCGTGTAACAGTAGATTGATTATTAGGTTACGTGGAAGAAAAATAAGATTTTAGTGCTTATTTTCTTCGTTGCCCGATTTCTATCTGGCTTTTTCGTGTGAAAGTCGTATTCTTCCTTTAAATTTAACTATGGCAGATGCAAATATTTCGAAAAATGATTTGGAAAACGTGTGTCAAGCCCTGGGAATTTCTACTGAAGGGGTAAAATCCGATCTTGTACAGAGATTACGCAAACACTTGAAAGGAAAAAACCGTGCATTTAGCCACGAGTCAGAGGAGTCTTATAGAAGTGAAGGAGGCAATTCTAATACTCAACTACTTGATGATGGTTTGGAAACGACAGAAATGCAGAACTTGAGTTCACAGGCAAAAACACTAAAAGAATTAGCTTATCAATCTAGAAAAGGAAATGCGACAGGAATCCCACCCACCAGAGAACAATCATCCACCCCTAGCATTCGTAGGTCTGAGCCAACTCATGCACAAACAGAAAACAAAAAGAAACGACCATTGCCAAACGAAGAGGATGGAGACCAGGATTTGATTAGTAATCAAATGTTGATAGAGTTTAAAAGGCTCGAAAACGCTATGATAAATATAAATGATAAGTTAAACACAGTTACGGCACAAGTACAAGATACTAGACACAAAGTTGAAGTCAATGAGGTATGGCAAAAGCACAAATTCGAAAAAGCTCGTGATCAACACGAATACGATGCTCTATGCAAAATTGGGAAAGAATTAGACCTTGCAATGGAATCAAGAAGCACTGTAGAGGTTGTAAATCATATTGATTTAGCACGAGAAATAGCAGCAAATCGCATATTCACTTTGAGAGTAGCAGAAGAATATGGTTGGGATATAGCATCAGCTCTTCCTGATACGCAAGATAATTGGTTGAAAGGAAAAGACTCATTAATAGAAAAAGCAAAAACTCTAGTAGAAGTGAAGAAAACCAAACGTCAGAGGATATATGAGTCATCAAAGTCAAGTAACTTTGGTCGTTGGAATGATGCAGAAAAATTTTTTCGTACCAACTATCGACAGAAAACAAACTCATTCAACAAATGTTATATCTGCAATGGACTTGGCCACTATGCAAACGAGTGCCCATCCGATCCAAATAGAGAAAGTAGAAAATATCATCCCAACTACCAATCAAAAGGATATACAACTTACTACAACAAATATAAAAATTATGAAGACAGAAATCGTGATGAGAGAAAACTTGATTGACTACACTCGGAGAGAACAACAAACTCCAGTTACGGAACGCATTCACATAGCAGAACATGTAAAGTACTGGGAAACAAAGATAAGAGCATCCAAACTAATAATCAGTTGGTTAAAATTCAAGATTCCGTTATTTCCAAAAGAATTAATAAAACTTACAAAACAACCCGATCCACATACTTACCCATTAACAAAAGATCAAGAAATATGGTTAGAACAAGAAATCAAGAGATTATTAAAGATAAATGCAATTGTATGGATATCAAACTCACCAACACGCACATCAAAACTATTGGAAGTAAGTCCAGTGTTTTTAACACTCAAGAAAGGTGCCAAAAAATGGAGACTAGTAATAGATCTCAGACGTTTAAACATGACATTACCAATCAAAACCTTCCGGTTCGAGGGATTAAACACATTTCTTCGTACAATTGGTCACAATTGGTGGATAATTATTTTAGATTTGAAAGAGGGATACCATCATATATTAATGAATGAAGAAGCTCAACAATTATTGGGTTTCAAAATAAAAGGAAATTGGTATCATTACCGGGTACTGCCATTCGGACTAAGTCAAGCTGTATGGATTTTTTCAAAAATAATGAAAGCATTAATAGGACATTGGCGATCACAAGGAATTTTCTGTGGAAATCATGTAGACGACATATGGATCGCACATCCAAATTATACAACATTATTGCATATCAGAGATTCAATAATCCTCTCGGATTTAAAAAATTGTGGCCTTATCTTAGCGAACAAAAGTCAATTGAATCCAACACAACAAGCAAAATTCTATGGACTAATACTAGATACAGTAACAGGACAAGTCACAGCACCCAAATCAAAAATAGAAAACCTAATATACGAATTAAAGAATATTCAAGCAACAATATCTTTAACAGCTCGACATCTAGCATCAATAACAGGAAAGATAATGAGTATCAATCGTGCCTTTATACATGCAAAGGTATATTGTCTAGAGTTTTATTCAATAATAAAAGCAGAACAGCGAAAACCATGGCAATGGAACAACAAAGTACAACTAACCAGGCAAGCAAGAAAAGATATAGATTGGTTAATAAAAAATTTAAAAGAGAAAAACAGAAGATTAGCATGAAAACCATCTCGAATTTTACCGGTTTATGTCGATGCATCAACTGTTGGATGGGCAGCTACACTAGAAGAAAAAAGAGCTTTTGGAAATTGGAAACAGCAACACAAATATACAGAAATAGCTTATCTAGAAGCATTAGCAGTATTACTAGGCCTAGAATCATTTCTTGCAAACATAAAACATTATTGGATAACAGTTTATATAGACAATCGCACAGCACGAAAAACAATGGAAGCAGGAGGCAAAAAACCATGGCAAAAAGAAATTATGCGAGAAGTCTGGGAATTTTGCAATATGCACGACATACAAATTCACGAGTTCAAATGGATTTCATCAAACATAAACCCTGCCGACGAACTAACAAGATTCTTCGACGATTCTGATTGGATCCTAACCCAAGAATTATTTATAAAAATAAATATGATGTGGGGTCCTTTTACAATAGATCGAATGGCAAGTTTTCATACAAGAAAAGTAAAGAGATTCAACAGCCACTATTATTGCCCAGAAACAGAAGCAGTAGATTGTTTTACCCAAGTATGGAGTGGCGAAAACAACTATATTTGCCCTCCACTAAGCTTAATACACAGAACAATCGAACATGGAATACAAGATCAAGCAAAAATAACAATAATAATACCAATATGGCCATCAGCACCATGGTGGCCAATTCTAAAAACGTTAAAGACAGAATTTTTGGATCTGCCACCAGCAATACAGAGTTTTCAACATGGGCCCGGAAAAAATTCAATACCGGAACCCTGGAAAAATCAACATTGGAATTTTCGAGCAGTGAAAATTTATTTTTAGATGCTCTATTAGAAAAAGCATACAAGCTTCTTTTACTTGAATCACTTTATGAGAAACGCTTATTAACATTATGGACAAACTTTGATACATTTTGCAAATTTCATGGATTAACTTCGTGCCCAACTCCCCAAATTCTATCTTAATGTTTTTAATATGGAATAATATGTTAGCAAGAACTAGAAATCCTGGATTATATTTAGTTGCTATTAAAAAATATCATTTGGAAAGAAAATTTCCCAACCCAACGATAAATATAAAAGTTCAAAACCTTATCAAAAAATTAAGAAAATTAGAAGCAGTTAACCATGAAGCAAGCTGGCCACGAGATCCACTTCCAATAAGTGCTTTAAAGTATTATGTTAACAATCCACCTCCAGGGACATCAAATATATTGTGGAAATGTGATTGTGCTTTGATTGCTTTAGGGATTCGTACTATGAGATGTCCTTCTGAACTCTGCAACTTACGTGTAATAGATCTAAAAGTGCAAGATGGAGTATATTGAATTAGAATAAATAAATCTAAGACAGATCAATATGCAAAAGGAAAATTTATTCCTATCGAACCTACAGATTCCCATTATTGTCCTATAAAGTTATTATTAAAGTATTTAGAAACGAGAAACGAATTAAGTAATCAAGAACCACTATTCCTTAGCATAAATGGAGAGTGCATGACAACAGGAGCAGTAAATGCAGTGGTAAAACGAATAGCAAAACATGCAAAATTGGAAGAAAAATTTTCTGGTCATAGTATACGTATAGGGGGAGCAACAGAAGCAATGAAAGCAGGATTAAGTTTGCCACAAATAATGAGTATTGGTGGATGGTTATCGCAATCTGTAGCATTATATCTTAGATCATTTTCGACTGTAGTACAAAACACAACAGTATTAATGGGATTTTTAAAAAAAAAAAAAAAAAAAAAAAAAAAAAAAAAAACGACGAAAAAACGAACTGAAATGCTAAGTATTAAACGATTCTCTTTTTGTTCCCATATTGTTTTTTCATTTATTATTAGGAAATAAAGATCTGAGCAAGAATAATGACCCGATGCGTGACATAGTCACGCATGGGTTATTATTGCGAAGATCACTGATCGTGTAACAGTAGATTGATTATTAGGTTACGTGGAAGAAAAATAAGATTTTAGTGCTTATTTTCTTCGTTGCCCGATTTCTATCTGGCTTTTTCGTGTGAAATCCCTCCCACCCTTCTCAAAAAGGATAAGACAAAGTGAAAATTTAATATTTTAATGATTGGAAAACAAGCCAAATATCTAAGTCGACATGTTATAGTTGCTTGGGAACCTGCTTACCAACCAATATGCCGGCTTGGTAACTTGCTTTTCAACATATATATATATATATAGTAGTAAACACAAATGAAGGAACGTGATTGCTTGAAAACTTGCTCACTAACCATCGGTATTAGCTTGGTGATTTGCTTTTCAACCTTCATTAGACTTCTGATTTTATTTCATACAAACCCCAGTTCTCGATTCTCTATTATATTTCTTCAAATATAACAACATTAAAGTCAAAATACGTAATTAATATGGATTTCGGAAACTGGAAGGGATCTGTATAATATTAAAGAACATACGAAGCTGTAAAATTTGTAGTTTAGAAGGAAACAAAAGGTCTTGCAGTGGTACAAAATTGCGAATTATTGTAATTAGAATACGACTTATAAGAATTATAGCACTATTCCCATATTGTTTTTTCATTTATTATTAGGAAATAAAGATCTGAGCAAGAATAATTATGTAATATCAGAATCAAATAACAATACTGTAATACTGTAACTACGTACTTCTACGTATCAGGAAATTTTAAAAAGTTGTGCAACGAACTGCAGACTTCGGACCCTAAAATCATAATGATTTACACTCATATAAATTATCCCCTAAATTTATATTATACTGTACGTTTCGGTTTTGATTTTATTATAATACTATACTGTATAATATTATGACTTCGGATGCTCAAAAATTGATAGAAGTGGCAAGAGGTTAGTTATTTAAATCACAATAAGTTATTAAAGTTATTAAGGTGTA